TTAATTTTGAAAAGCAACGTTTTTTAAGTCCTTTATTATGTTGTGATTTAGGTTATGAAAATAAGCAGCCTAAACAACGAAAACAGGCAAATTTCATTAATGATTTCTTGGGTTTAAAAGAACAGAGAATAAGAACATTTTTTAGTGATAGCACTATTAAATACAAACTCATTAAAAACCCTTTGATACATGGCGCATTGCAAGAGTACATTTTATCATATAAGGATGAATGTGAACACCCGAGAGCTACGAAGCACCGTTGTACGCACAAGTATGAACAAAAATGCCATGCTAATGATTATTATTCATGGGCCTAATCCATTAGGGTTAAAAATTTGTCAAGCTGAACGTTTGAAAACGTAGCCATCACCCAGTTTGGAAGTCTAGAAGCGTCTTAACAGTGGATCGTACTTGGACTCCAATCTGAATGCTTGAGGCATTCGATGCGTTATATTTCCCAGATCGTTAATGATCTCGTCATTTGGCCTTCAGTGGACCAGCACGTTTAACATCAGTTTGCTCTGTTAGACCGGTGCAAAATGACTCGAAAAATATACGGTCATTGGGTTAGATCTCAGGGGAATGTTACTCGTTCACAACTCATCTTCCGACAGGCCTTTTTGATATATTATTATTGTCGTTAGTGTCTGGTCGCTAATGTTAATCTGTTTGTTTGTTCTTTAAAGTTGTGACCCCATCGCCGACTATTCCAATTAAAAAGCCAACACCAACAAAACCACCAGGTAAGCAATTGACCTCTCATCTCTCTGGCTTATTAACGATTAAAAGTGATCAAGATGCCCAAATCGCAAAGGGTTCTCATCATTTGGCCTTGAGTGGGACAGCGCGTTTTCAAACCACTTTCTTTTCTTTCTAGTATGTCGCTTGAAAGTCGATCTTGGGTTCCTGGTAGACGGCTCTGGAAGCATAGAGAACCGAGGCAAAGGAAATTTCATGCACATTCTCGATTTTATCAAGACTCTCATCAGTTTCTTCCCTATCTCTGCGGGCCAGACCCGGGTGGGTATGGTAGTGTTCTCCACTCGGCCACACCCGATCTTCCGTTTTAACCGATATTACACCCTGCCAAGCGTTATCAAGGCAGTTGATCGTGTGAGATATCCATATGGAGGAACAAAGCTGGGAAGAGCCCTTGCATACGTTTCAAGGTACGTGTGTGAAGCTGTTGAGTACAAGTAATGTATAGATCTCTGAAGGATATTTATTCTTAACGATGCTTCTGTATGCATCGACTTATTTTTAAGATTCCTGACGATTTAGTCTAAAAGTTATCACCTTAAACTCTGCTTGCCCATTACTGGGATCACTGTGTTGTGCTCTATGGCAAGATACTCGCCTCACACAGATCCTCTTTCCTCTCAAGATAGAGTACATGATTATGCACACCTAACAAACGGGACGCGTTATTTTCGAGTACGATCGCGACTGCTCCCGAACGTCTTTATTCTTGAGATAACCGCCCAGTCCGATAAGCGGAAGACCGGAGGATTTCATAAATGAAAAAACTAAACGAATTACACTTGTGATCAAAACAAAAACATGGCGGCTCTGAAAGGAAGAAACGGTTGTTAAGGAGTATGAGCGGTCACAATGCAAATTGCTGACATCCGCTCGCTTTACTTAACGGTACCGCTATAATAGCAACCACATCCAGAACTCTTAGCCGCTTCATGCCAAAGAAACCAAGATTTAGCTTCAGATGTAGCGGGAAACTTGACAAATTAGTTTAAACCAAGTAATATACAGCAACCAGGAATTAATTTTTCCTTGTAAAGGTGTAATTAATCAAACGCAGAATTCGTGAGAAAAAAGAAAATGGTCAACGAAAGACAAAATGCCTTGATCCTGTAAAGAAATTTTCCTAACCTGTATCGTTTTAATAGCGGAGCTCGCAGAGCGTAGCCCCATAATTATACAAAAGAGTAGCAACCCATCAAGCGGAAAAAATTTGGATGTACGACCGTACCACCGTACACGGTGCCACTTTTAACATGCGTGGTCAACTGTACCGCGGGCACGCCCACGCCACGGCTTTGTTCAGTAGTCCAGTGGTCAGAGCAGTGGGCTCCGAGTCGGAAGACCCGGGTTCTAGTCCTGGCCGGGGCAAGGCGTTGTGCTCTTGAGACGTGCGGGAAAAAAAATGCAAGCACCGCTTTTAGGCTTGGCTAAATCTATATAGTAGGGAGAAAAATGTTTAGAATATGTATGCTGATAATTCTTTGGTCTTTGTCCCATCCAGGTACTTATTTCCGCGAGGAAGGTCAAAAGGCAGAAAGCCAGTTCTTGTTATCTTGACAGACGGGATTTCGCAAGATAATGTAATAGGTCCCGCCGAGAGATTGAAACGGAAAGGAGTGGAAATCTTTTCTTTGGGGATTGGTCACAAGTTTAGAAGGCTTCAGCTGCAACAAATGGCTTCCAGTCCACTGCATGTGTTCACGGCTGGGTTCAGGAGACTAAGCACTGTTCTTGGTGTAATTAAAAACAAGGCTTGCACACCATATGTGCCGCGTAAGTGATCTAATTGTATTTTACTCACTGTATGCATACAGAAGCCATAACATCCATACGAAGGCTCTAACATGTATACAGGGGCAAAACATGCCTTTAGGGGCAGTAATATGTCCACAGGGGCAATTACACGCATACAGGGGCAATAACATGCCTATAGGGCCAATGATATGTCTATAGGGGCAATTACATGCGTAAAGGGGCAAGAACATGCATCAGGGGCAATAAATGTATGAACCTTTGTAATCTTTAACGATATTTTCGAAGTGAATTCTGTTGCGCATGAAGCTACTTACCTTGAAATTTTGAAGCTTTTCCTGGTGGTAAGCGATCAAGATGTTCGATATAGCTGGTTGAAAAATTGTTCTTCGATCATATCAACAAATATAGGAAGTCCAATTTTGCTTACAATACTGCCTTTGTGGATTGAGGAATGAACTAGGAAGGTAGTTTCTTCACAAATAACTCCTTCTTGTTACACCATTGTAAAGAAGGGACGATATATTTTTTGAAAGAAACATGCTTTAAAGTATAGATAAGCCATATTTTAAATTTTTTTGACTTTCTTTTCTTACTTTTGCTCCTTTTTTTAGCAAAAAAGCCTATGACACCTCCAGGTAAGTCGTTAAATCGCTCATCTTTGTGGCAGAGCTGGTTGGTCATACAATATCTTGTTTTTAAAAAGCAGTGAATCGATATGTTTGCCTCTGCCTGGTACAACTGTGACATCTCCTGAACAATTATCGGATAGGAAATGAATGCCGTTCCACTTTACCTCGAATCTATTCCCATTTCTCGGTCGTTCATCTTTTAAAAGAAAAAAGTTTTGAACATTCTTAAATTGCAGTGAAGGTTTTCTTCATATCAACGTATTTTTACGACACTAATATCTACCACTGTAGATTGTGTTTGCGATCAATTGTTCTTACTTCAAAACTTGCGTTTTTATTTCCCCCAGCTTGCAACCTAGCAATTGATATTGGCTTTGTCTTGGACGCCTCTGGAAGAGTTGGACATAACAACTTCAGGCGAATAAAAAAGTTCGTAGAACTCGTTTCCCGATCATTTTCGATTTCTCGGAGCCGAGCACGTGTAGGAGTCATCGTATACGGTTCGTCTGCTCGGATGCAGTTCGGACTCAACTGGTACACGAATCCACGCCGGCTGAACCGAGCTATTAGAAGGATGCGGTATACCCGAGGATCAAGACGCACAGGAAAGGCCTTACAGCTCGCAGTCGGAGCGCTTTTCAGACGCAGTCGACGGAAGAGGGTTCTGATAACGGTGATGAGTGGGCCGTCGTATGATAGTGTGAAGATACCAAGTCTACAGATACATCGAGCTGGCATTGAAGTGTTCGCTGTTGGTGTCACCACTCAAGTGAGGAACCAGGAGCTTAGGGCAATAGCCACTGATTCTCGTCATATTTACATGGTTAATTTTAATTCGCTTTATGGCATCGTCAAAAGCATAGTCAGGAAAGCGTGCAGAGGTATTTTCAAAATTTCTTTTTTTTCTCTCTACAGAAATATTATTACAATCAAACTTTCCTACTTTGTGAAAATATTGAAACTATACTCAGAGTATTAACAGCGTTTTTATTACTTGTCCAGCTCAAATAACTACGCGGCCGACCATACGACCATCTACCCCGTCTCCATCAAGAAAACCAAGTAAGTCTAAAAAGAAAATCGATGAGCGATAATAAATGAGTATTATTATTTATCACGAACGCGGAGTTCCGGCCATTTGTCAGACTTCGCTTCACATCATATACAGTACCTTCCTTTCTGCTTGCTTAATGGTATTCGATAAAGAGCACTTTTCAATTAATTGTTATTAAAAGTTCTCCGGGATAGCATCTGTTGTTCTCCACTATACGCTGTTGTCTAGGAAGTGAAATTCGCACCGTGTGTATGTAATGCCTGCGCATTCTCGCTTTTTGCTGATTGGGCGTAGTGATTACATTTGTTTGATCTTCTCGATGTTCCGTAGAAAAGCCGTATCGATCAAGATCCGACTTTGCATGTCTGTTTTTTGGGTTCTGTTTACTCATTGGTTTCTTTTCATACTAGGCTTTCCTCAACCCGTTGCTGTCTACACACTGGACAGCAAAACTGGCGCACGTGATATCAGCTCAGGAAGAAACATTCCAGGCAAAAGCTACAACATTAGATACGCCCCAGGCCCTTACGGCCAACCTGGCGAGTCAACGGAATTCTTTGGTCGTCGCAACAGCTACATCCGTTTCCCCAACTCGGGAAAATTGGATGTTAAGGACTCTATAACACTTCTCGCTTGGATATTTCCTATAGGTCGTGGTCCTATTTTTGAATACTTCCGTGGGATAAGGTTCTGGGTGGTCCGGTCGGACACGTTATATGTCCAGTTCAAACGGAGGAACGGGCGGCCTACGCGGGCTTTGATTAAACGGCGTCTTTACCCACGCCGCTGGAATTACGTCGGTTGTACGTATAATCAGCGAGCAGGCATAGCTACGCTATGGGTGGATTCAAGACCTGTACTAACGCAGAATATCAAGCGCATTAGATTAGCGACAAAGACAACTGCGTACATGGGTGGAACATTCCGCGGGCGCATAGCTTGTATGCAAGTTTACTCTAAGGCACTGACTGGACCTCAGATTAAAAAAGTCAAGAACCTTTGCAATAAACCAGGTGAGCTTTAGTACTGAGGTCTTTGATAAAGAGCCTTTTTGTACTGCGAAGTTGAAGATATCGGCATTGTTAGTTCCAGGTACGAACCAACTATTCCTTTTGCACCTTAAAAAACCATGAAATATCTGATGCAACGATATTAAGAAACTTTTTCGTTTGTCTCTTTGAAAATGGTGTCAAAAGGCTTAACTTTAGTTCAACAAGTAATAATTGGTTTTGGCTCATTAAGTTAGAATTTGATGTTTTTTGCATCTATTTTAACATTTTTCTTACATTCTATGACTCTTACTACTTACCACTTATTTACAGGTCCTCCAACTAAACCCATAAAGCCACCTACAGGTAAATGCCTGATTTTTTTTAGTACACCTCGATTATACTTGATGATTTAATTTTCTGATGAGTCTTGCCTTCAATTCACCCACTGTCTCGTTTATATGGTAGCGAAACCTGGATCATCTCACAAAATCATTTTTGTTGTTGTTGTTTCTCTTACTTTTAGCTTTACCTCCAGCCATGGCTTTCTATCCCTTAAACGTTCGATATAACACCCGTGACGTCAGCAGAAGTAAAAACCCATCAGGGCGCATGGCAAATGTGCGCCCTGGCGTAGGACCAGACGGAAGGCCAGGTGGCTCATTTAGGTTCAAAGGTCGCTCTGACAGTTACATCGAGTTCCCGAACAAAGGCCGATTAGACGCTCGGAATTCAATCTCTATTCTGGCTTGGATAAATCCGGATGGCCCCGTAGGACCGATCTTTAATTACAAACCGGATGGGTTTGGTGTCCACTTGTGGATGGTGCGTCGACGAGTGTTACTTGTTCGTTTCGTGACTCGTGCACGAAAGTTTACAGCTGCCGTGCAAACCAACCTTATCAAGCCCAAGGCCTGGAATTTCGTCACTGCTACTTATAATCAGCGTACGGAATATGCCCGATTATATATCGATTACAGAGAAGTTGCCCGGAAAAGAATCGGTAGGATTCGACTGGCTACAAACTATCCTGCTAGAATGGGTGCGCGGATTGGAGATAAGCGGTATTTCCGTGGACGAATTACATGTTTGCAGATCTATGACGTACCACTGCGACCAATACAGATCCAATTGGCTAAGAGGCTTTGTTTGAAGACAAGTAAGGATAACGAGCTCAGAGTTGTATAAAAGTGATACTTATACTAAACTAATTTGATATTGAATAAAGGCGACACTTCTACCTTGCTTCCAGCTACGTTGAGTATGGCTTTAGTACCGTATGATTTTAAAGGAAGTCCACAGAATATTTGATCGTTAAGCAGTTTCTTGCTTTGAGGTATAAACTATCGGTAGGTAGGCATTACAACATATTCATAACGTTTGATTAATTGTAAATGTATTCTTCTGTTTACAGAAGTTTTCACACCTACTCCAACACCCACACCAACACCTACCAAACCGGGCCCGCCAAGACGTAAGTACTCGAAACCTTAATCAATTCTAGTTGGTCATCTTAGGAAAATATTCCTATTCAGTTTTGCATTTTGCCATTGCCCCAGGGGTTTCAGTAGTTTCTTGTTGAAACCCCTGCATAACACTACTTCTGAATCATGCGACTGTTGTACTTATCTCTGGTAGACTAGGATGGCTTATTCTTATTATCTTAGTATTAGGTTAAACCTAGGTCATGGTAAGTTTTAATGATTATTTAGGTAATTCAGCGTTGGAGCTGAATTGATTGTTCCACTTCACCCGCAAAGAAGTAGCCACGATCTCCATTTGTGCAAGGCACAATTATTTTATGAACCATAACAAAGATTACCCTCAGTTTCAAAATTTTAAATGTAGGGCAACGAAAGTTTCATTAGTAACAAAAGTTCTTCAGTTTTGATTTCCCTTTTTTCTTTTGAAATCTGACACGTTCTCAGCAAGGTTTACGACAAAGGTGGATTGAAGGTTTCAAAGCAAGGAGAGGGGGAGAGCCATAGTATAAGCTTTCTTTAAGAATTAAGTTGTCCTACACGCAGCATGACAGATATACACATGATTTTTAAAATTATGTTCTTTCTTGCAGCTTGCAGAGCAAACATGGATCTAGGATTCCTGATAGACAGCTCTTACTCCTTGCGTCGATCAGGCAGAGGAATTTTCCGTCTACTTACCCGGAACATAGCGCGACTTCTCTACTCACTGCGAATTTCAACCCAAGAAACCCGCGTCGGTGTAGTCACGTACGCGTCAAGACCGAAGCCTTTGTTCCGATTTAACCGCTTCTTTAGGGCGTCTTCCATGCTTTCAGTCATAAGAAGGATTCGACCACAAAGAGGTCCTCTCAGGATAGGAAAAGCTCTCCACTATACCCGTAGGTACTTGTTTAGAAGAAGAAGGCAATGTGGACGGAAGCGTGTGCTCGTGGTATTTGCAAGTGCCCGCTCAGTAGACCGTGTACAGCGGACGGGACGCGTTTTAAAACGTATTGGAATTGAAGTATTTGTTGTCGCTATTGGTAGAAGGACAAGCAAAACACAGTTATACCAGATCGCTACAAATGGACTCCATGTGTTTACAGCTTCGTTGAGGACATTATCAGCGGTGCTGAATGCTGTGCGAGTCAAAGCTTGTTCAGGTATTCCATAACTCTATGCGATGGAATTTGAGAATTTATATCATTGCCGTCCCAAATTTCATTCTCATATCCTCGTCACTGTTTAGTTTCATCAAACACAATTTCTGCCACTCATTCTTTGAGTTGAGCTTTCGCGTAAAAGTTAAATATTAAGGGACAGGAAGGCGTAAAAGATTCTGAAAAGGGGTTCTTCAGCCCGTCGGGAACCAGCTTTGCGGTCTCCAATAGTACCCTGATTGAATGAAAGACAGTAGACAGACGTGATTTTTGAGAAAGTGACCGTTAGATTAAAAAGACAAGAGAAAAGGCATCCGAAGTTTTTACTACGTTTTCTCTATTGCAGTAACTGGATCGGCAGCTGCCAGAGTTATATACCCTCTTAATGGCGTCACTCGAGGAAGAGACATAAGTATCAACCGCAACAGAGCTGCTAGACTTGTGAACGTTAAACCGGCTCCAGGACCTGACGGCCTCCCATTGGGTTCGTACTATCTTCAAGGCATCGCAAACAGCTACATCTTGTTCCCAAACAAGGGTTGCCTGGATACAAAGAACTCCCTTACCATCGTTGTGTGGGTCTACCCCGAAGGTAGCGGACCAATCTTCCACTATTTTCCTCGCGGATGGGGAGTGCATCTGTGGATGAAAAATCCTCGCACTCTCCTGGTGAAGTTCGTGCCGAGGTCCCTGCAGACCATCAGCGTTGTCACAAGCCGGAGAATCAAACCAAAGACTTGGAATTACATAGCTGCAACTTATGACTACGTCACGGGTCTGGCCACTCTATGGAATGACGCCATACCGATATCACAGAGAAACATCGGGAAGATTCAGTTGGCTACCAACTACCCGGCAATATCAGGGAAGAAGCCCCGGGACAGAAGGATCTTCCGAGGGCGGATCGCTTGTCTTCAGATTTACGATCGAGCACTGACCGGAAGACAGCTTAGGAGAATCAAAAAGAAATGTTTCAGAGGTTTGCCTTGCTAATAATTTCTGAAAGTACTGAATTTGAATTTGGTTTTTGATTTTCATCAATAACATTTTTATCTTTTTTTTTTCACTTATCTTAGCCCGACCTACACCAACTCGACCACCTCCAGGTGAGAGAAAGATATTTCAATTCCTTCTTGACTGCACCTATCACTGAGCAGGACTTCTTAAAAGTCTGAAATTCTTAAAGAAAGTAATGGTCTTAAAAAAAAATGTCAAGGAATAAAATCAAGGTAGCATAGGCTGTCCGCAAGGTTTAGCTATGGCTATTAGAAGTAAAATAACTTAACACCTCAACAAAATACAGGGATAACTGACGCGTTACTTTCACCATGCGGTCGTTTTGTCCCATCCCAACCCCCTCCATGTTGTTTTCAACCTCTTTGATCATTTTCTTCGCTGTCAACATTATTTGTTTTTGGATGAGGAGTTTAGACACTCCGGTTAAAAATAAGAAGCAATATCTTCTGCGGGAATTATTTCTTTAAGAGTTTTGGGCCAAATTTGTAAATTTCTTCCCGTAGAAGTAACATTGGCATCTTTTCATTTTTTTCTATAGAACTTCCTCTATTGGTGGCTGTTTATCCACTGGATAGAATCAATGGCGCTCGTGACATCAGCCCACGTAAATGCCCCACTGGAAGACGCGTTGGCGTAAGAATTGCCCCGGGCCCAGACGGAAGGAAAGACGGAGCTACTGAATTCCTTGGCAACCGTAACAGTTACATTGAAATCCCAAATAACAATGGAAAACTCGACACGGTGGCGTCGATCTCCATTTTGACGTGGATTTACCACGAAGGTCTAAAAGGTCCCATAGTCAACTACAGGGCAGGTCCCGGATGGGGCGTGCACCTGTGGATGATTGGACCACGCACGCTTTTTGCGCGGTTCGTCCGCAGAGATGGCGTATTTACTAAGGCGGTAGTCGTCACCAGCAGAAAAATACGTTACAGGGCATGGAATTACGTTGGTGCTACATACGACTTCAAGACTGGAGTTGCTAAACTCTGGGTTAATTCCAGGTTACTTGTTGTTAAGAGTATCGGACGATTCCGATTGGCAACAAACTATCCAATCAGGCTTGGAGCACGACATGGCGACAAACGCTACTTTAAGGGAAGAATCTTCTGCGTGCAGATCTATAGTCGCGCGCTGAACCGGAAACAAATTTTAGCGGCTAGTAAAACCTGCTTCAGGCCCTGTAAGTGATCCTAAAAGTAATTAATCTTTATTTGTAAAAGTCAGTTGCCTTAACCTTTCTTATCGCATGTGTTGTATATGCTAAATATGAGCACTATAAACCAATGTTTTTCAGGGTACGATATCCCATCCATTTTCTAAAATTTGGTGTCTTTCGTCTCCCTAGACTTAATGTTCGCACTCGAAGACAAGTATAAATTTCTGAAGGGGTCGTAAGAAAATTTCCCAATAGAGATTAGCACACTGGGCAATGCACCTCATTTCAATTACAAACGGATCAATTCAGACATCTTAGCACAATTTGACTGTAATAACACTCCTAAAATGTGGTCTTAGGATCAATGTGCCTGCAGAGTAACGTGGAAACAAAACATATCTGAACTCTGGTGTTTTCCTGTGCTTTCCTCTGCTTACTTGTCTTCGCTATATCTCTTTTGCCTAAGAGTTGATTATTTAGTTAACTAGTCTCATTTGTGTATGTCTTTTCCAAGTTCCCATAACCAAACCCAAGCCACCAACGCCGACACATCCAATATCAACACCAACACCAACACCAACAAAACCTAAAGGTAAGGGTTACATGTATACAATATAACATAATCATCGTTCAAAACACAGTGACATGTCCATGACTAGGAAGCCGACACGAACCTTGAATGCCGCAAAACTCTAGAACAAAAATTTATCTTTCAAATCGGTACTCTTAATCCCCACGGTATCAACGAGCCCGTATTAATTAACTAGTTTATTCTTTTTTTCTCGTCACTGTATTCCTACCAATAGCGTAGCTCCATTTTTTGCATATAAACACACACACAACCCACAATTCCTCCAATTGCTCTGACGAGGGGCTAACGCTCGAAATGTCAGCTGCGAAACTATTTATGGTGGCCAATTTACGTTATCAACTCAGTTGATAATACTAGATTATCGAATCTCTAATCAATCTTCAAACAATTGAAAAAGGCCTGAGAATGTTCAGAGGAGCGAACCTTTTACTCTTCTTTTAGAATTTGCGTCTTCCAAAGAGTCGCCTAGGATACAATAACATCCAAAAGTGCGGAGTAAATGTCGCTTTGCTTTTGCGCGTCTTGTAAGAAGTCGTTACTTTGTTCAGTCTGATACTTATTGAACCTGAGCGTTATAAATGTTTTGTTCTCATTTTTCTTTCTTCAAGGACCATTTAAAGCCTCAGCATTCTACCCTCTAACCTCGCGTACCAGAGGTCGTGACATCAGTGTCTTCGGCAACCCACCAGGAAAGCTTGGCTACGTACAATCAGCACCAGGCCCTGACAAATTACCTGGAGGTTCATACCAGTTTTTTGGACGCCGGGACAGCTACATACAGTTCCCAAACAGAGGGAAATTGGACACGAGACGATCAAGCACAATCATCGCATGGATCTACCACGAGGGACGTGCGGGCCCGATCTTCAACTACATGCCAAACGGCTGGGGAGTGCATTTGTGGATGGTGTCACCGCGAACGCTTTTTGTACGTTATACGCGTCGACAAGGAAGAAAATCCACGACTGCTCTTGCTAGTCCTCGTATTAAACCTCGCACATGGCAGTACATTGCTGCCACATACGACCACTATACGGGCTATGCAAAGTTGTATTTAGACAGTAAAGTAATAGCGCAAAGGAGATTGGGCCGAATTCGTCTAGCGACAAATTATCCTGTGAGGATGGGTGCCAGGATAGGAGATGGGCGGTATTTCCGCGGGCGCATATCTTGTGTAATGGTTTTTGATGTGGCATTGAACCCCAATCAGATTGCACGCAGGAAGAAGCGCTGCTTTAGACGTAAGTTGCTTAATTGTTGGTTTGTTTAATTTGTTTCTTTGTCTCTGTGTGTATCCTTCTGCTATTGTTTGTGCACCTACTTGTCAGTGTGTGTCGTTATGTCTGTCCGTGTTTGTATTTACTGTCTAGTTGTCCGTGTGTCTCTCCATTTGTCAGTCTATTGTTTATGCATCTATTTTTTCAGTCCGTATGTCTGCCTTTATCTGCCTTACTGTCTGCCTTTGTCGGCCTTTTTGTCGGGTTGTTTGTGTGTCTGTCTGTCTGGTGGGCTGAGTTTAATGTTTGCCTTTGCTGAAGCCATCGCGAATGAATGGCTGAGGTTGATATTTGGAGTTCTAAATTTTTAAACGTCTATTCTCTTTCTCAGTTAGATTTTTTCTAGATAGTCCAGCGTTCAACTCTTTTGGTGGCTTTTTTTAAGTAGTCCTCTGGTACTCATTCCAGTAGCTGGGATCTTTGACGATTCACGTTTCATTGAGTTATTCTATACCTTTATTTATTTACAATGTCCCAAATTAAACAATTAAACCAAAGATGCTAACTAGAGTGACAAATCAGCACGGTTGTTTAAACATTTTACCCCTTTCTTCCCAAAAGATAATATGATCTTGATGCAAACTCGCTAGTTAGCGAGCTTCTAAGAGCTCCTCATGTGGCGTAGGTAAACAAATCCATATACCATTCCATCTGACCGTACCGTCCGTCCGTCGGTCATTCTATCTATCTGTCCATCTGGTTGTTTTTCAATTTCTCTGGCTATCTATCTGTCTGTGTTGCAGTCTTTCCCAAAGTTTTTTCCCATGCGTGTTAAAAGTGTACCTCAAATTTATTCCATACCTTTCAATGTTATAAAATCATTATAGAAAAACTTGCATGATTCCCAAATCATGTTTATTTTTCTCCCACAGGTGGACCGCCAGGACCATCCGGAAAAGGTCAGACAATTAATATATTCTTGCTTTTTGACAGCCACTGATGGTACTCTTTTATACCGTCTTGCTAGAATCCCCTTCGTGATATAAATAATGTTTAGCTCTTATCTTACACATCTGGTAAAATAGCCCGTTTCACTAATAAAATCGAAGAATTAACACCAAAGTGTACAGAAGTGAACCATTGGACTAAAGAAACTCTGTTATCATAATTTACAATTGATCGTGTAGTTTAATCGTCCGTCATCATCAGAGTCAAGAGGAGAGTTTTTTCAGTCGATTGTTATAATTCTATAGTATATTGCTCAAAGCTAATTTAAAATATTTCTTGTAATAATGTGTGTTTTTTATTCCCCTTTTTTCTCAGTTTGTAAACCCAAGATCGACCTCACCTTTGTTATAGACGCTTGTACGGAAAACGACCGCTTTACCAAAGCTAACTTCCTCCGTCTGAAGACCTTCCTGATTCGTTTGATTAGCGAGCTGCGTATCTCCGCTAAACGAGTACGAATCAGCTTGATTACGTACGCGAAGTTTCCCAAACTCTTAATCAATTTCAGCGCCAAAAAGTCCTACGTCATCAGAGTCATCAAAAACATGAAACGTGTATGCGGAGCTCGTTATACAGGGGCTGCCTTGCAGTACTCATACAGGAACATCATAAGCCGGACCTCAAGGAGAAAGGTCCTGGTTTTGACGAGCACTGGCCCGTCCAGAGATGATATCCGGGGTGCAACAGCTTTGATTCAAAGGTCAAGAGTAGAAGTATTTGCTATGGGCATAGGAAGGCGTTACAACTTTAGGGAGCTGCAGTACATTGCTACTGATCGTCGACATGTCTATACAGCAGCGTATAGGAATATTGAGTCCTTGGTTACACTCATGAAAAAGAAGGTCTGCAAGTCAGGTTGGTAGCTCCTTGCAGTTTTTCCTAATTTTTTACCTTCCTCGTCCCATTTTTTCGTTGGTTTCAATCAGTCCAACAACGGCTTATTATTATTTCACCTTAGTTTCGGTGATGAAGAATTCTGTTCTGCGTTGTAGCGTTTAATTTTGTAGAGCTAGGATGCATCTTTTTCCGTCTACTTCTGTCGATCTTGGTATCTGTTCCTGGCGTCTATTTTATTTTGTCGTTTTGATATGCGATTCCGTTCCTCGAAAAAAAAATTGTCAAACTATGAAGGATAACAGATTGCGACTTGTTTGAGTCTAGATAATATATAAATATAACTTAAACTTTGTTCGGCTTAAAACGTGTTTACATTAACTTTAGATAAATTCGTGACACCTGTCAAACCAGTTATACCCAGGCCTCCAACACGTCCACCAACTCGTCGACCTCCGAAGCCCGGTAAGTGTCTCTATAGCTTGTCTCCAAAGACTCTGTTTTACAAGTCACAATTTTTTCATGAACTTATGTTTTCAGTGCATCCTGCTGCTGTGCGATACCTCACCTATTTTGCTACCGTCAATTTTAAATTGATTGATAGGTTATAATTGAATAAACAAATAATTGAATCGATTATCATCTAAAATAGATCATCACAGTGCCAGAAGCGTAATAGCATACCACAATTTATGAGAGTCTGTTCTACAAGATTTTAAAAAACTGAAAACGTGATACGTTCACTGGCAGCATTTTTGTTTGCGGTTCCTTGCCAGATTTGCATTAAGATAATCAGGCACACATTCCTTTATAGAATTAGGTTTGAGGCTCAATAATTCTTAAAATGAATCACCACTGTTTTTAAAAATCTAAGTCAGTGAATCTAGCATATTACTACGTAGGGATGGGTTGATATTTGACTTCAATCAGCCGTTGTCTTTTTACATGTTCCTTAGGACCTGCGCGTGCTTTAGCAATTTATCCTCTTCAGTACCGAATCAAAGGAAAAGACGTTGGTCTCTTCGGAAACCCACCTGGCATTCTTGGCTTTGTGAGGCCTGCGGTCGGACCTGATGGAAAACCCGGTACATCATACCAGTTTTACGGTCGGAGAAACAGCTTGATCCGATTCCCAAATCGCGGTCGTTTAGACGCACAAAAGGCAATAACGTTACTTGCTTGGCTTTACCCCGAGGGCCCTGGACCGATCTTCAAATACGGCGTCGATTTCTCTGTCGGTAGAGCGCGTAGTTTGTTTATACGAATTTTCCCGCGTGGATCACGGAACAGCCGAATTCGCCCACTGAGGGCGCGCGGAGTATTGCGATACCGAAGATGGCACTTTGTAGCCGCCTCTTATGAACAGAAAACGGGTGAAACAAGGATTTATGTGAATGGAAGACTCGTTTCTCGCACGCGGCTCAGAAGAGTTCGTCTTGGTACTAACATTCCTGCAATCATGGGAGCTGCAAGAAGCAGATACTTCCGTGGGAGAATCTCCTGTATGCAAGTTTATGGACGGGTTCTGTCCAGGTGGCAGATCATCAAGCGAAAGACAAAATGCTTTAAAGGTAAGCGACACTTTGTAACTGTCTGTTGTTT